CCATTTATAGATGGGGATTTGTAGTAGGGACTCAACCTTTAATTAAACATGGCATCTTTGCTAGAATAAGATAGCAATACACAGAATTTTTTTGGTTTCTGTTTTGTTTTGTTGACTCATTTACTCTCCCATTGATGATTTCAACAATGCAGGGAGAACTGGAAGTCAGGGGACCTAATGGCTTTTTGGTCTACCTGTAATTAACACAATGCATATAGGCCATGTGCATATAGATCCACGGCTTGGCCCCTTGCAAGGTCTATCTGGTCCTCAGTCTCCACCCTTGTAAAATAAGGTTAATGGTATCAGGCCAATCTACAATACACAGTGAGATTAAAGTAGCTAAACAAGTTCTAACTGGAATGAGAACTACTCTACTTTTCATAGTTCGTTGGGTGTCTCGCAGTTGTGTTGTCTTTAACACAAACTAATTTTTAGAAAGAGAGAACAAATTTACAGCAACTATCCAAATACCAAGGGTGGTGTGGGAAAGTACCTATCAAAGTACTTTTCCTAGTCTGTTCATGATGGAGGGCCAGTAATAGGAGAGGAAACTATAACATGCCTCCTGCAAGCTAAAGTCATTTATACCTTATACTCACAACAAATTTTACAAAGTAGACATGACCATACCCATCTGACAGAGTAAAGAAACTGAGGTTCAAAGACAGGCTAAGTAACCAGCCAAAGTGATGTTACCAACGACTGGAAATCCAGGTCAGTGGTATCATCTTTGTAAAAAAGAACATCTTTATTATTGCTTGAAGAAAAAATATGTGAAAATCAAGAGTATTACAAGAAATATGCAAATAAAAATACAATAATGTCCATTCATTTCCTTCAACAGTTTTCTTGCTCTTGGCTAATTCTGATCTTTCAGGTCAAGAGGCCATTTTTTTTCTAAGTAGACTTTTTCTTTAAGTAGCAAACAAATAGGGTATATGATGTGCTAGGAACTAGTCCATGAATGTACTGTATTTCTTTAACATCTTTAAACCACAGTTGTTGGCCAGAGTTTAC